AGAATGTGTACGGTTGAGGTCTATAATACATCTTATTCAAGACAAAATGTGGTTTGAAGTGTTACAAACTACCTACAATTTTGTATGAAGACAATATAGCATGCATAACTCAAATTGAAGGGAGGATTCATAAAAGGAGCTAGGACAAAGCACATTTCACCAAAGTTATTTTTCATGATCTTCAAAAGAATGGTGATATCAATGTGCAACAGATTCGTTCAAGTGATAATATGGCTGATTTGTTCACCAAATCTCTACCGACGTCAACCTTAAAGAACCTAGTGTACAAGATTGGGATGTGAATGATCAAGGATGTGAATTGATGTTCTCATCAGGGGGAGTTAATACGCGTTGTACTCTTTTTCCCTTACAAGGTTTTGTCCCGCTGGGTTTTTCTTTGCAAGGTTTTTAACGAGGCAACCAAAAGGCGTATTTCTAAACATGTGTACTCTTTTTCCTTCATTAGGATTTTTTTCCCATAGGATTTTTTCCTAGTAAGGTTTTAACGAGGCACATTATCTATGGACATCCAAGGGGGAGTGTTATGATAAATATCACATTATAGTGGATGTCTACTCTTCTTCCATGATCTTCATCTCAAATGTTTAATGACATATTCAATGACATATTCCATGACATATTTTCTTCACTTTTTATGACTATATAAAAGCCTTGTAACAGATAGGAAAATACACACAATTGAAGAAGAAAATCTCTTCCTTCTCTCTATCTCCATTTCTTGTTCATGTTTTACTAAATTGCTTTTATTTCCTTGTTTCATATTGTTACTTTGAGTTATATTTCATAATATGTCATGATTTGTCTTATTCTTACCTTATCCTCATTTTTATTTAAGAAAAAGGGAAAAGGGAGAATAGAAGAAAATACTAACATATGCATGGACTAATGGCCCACATCAGTAGCTTTAATATAGACATATAATGATCACTTTTATAGCATGTTTGGCGAAGCTTCTCCAATGTCAAAAATACTTTTTTTTCTTTAAAAAAATTGAAGTGTTTGGCCAAGCTTTTAGAAGAAAAAGAATACTTTTAAGTAGAAGCAGAAGCAGTTTTGGGGAAGCAGAAAAAAGTACTTAGAAGCACATTTTTACGGCTTGGCCAAACACTAATTGCTGCTCAGAAGTACTTTTTAAATTAATTAGTCAAACAAAAATTGCTTCTCACCAAAAGAACTTTTGAGCACTTTTGAGAAAAAAATACTTCTCATAATAAGTTGATTTTAGAAGATTGACCAAACAGGCTACTAATAACTGTTATTTTCTGCATTGGAGAAAGTAAAGTTTATTTTTAGAGAGAAAAAGTAGTGAGAGATTGAAATTCTATTCATGTTAAGTCAAAGGGTACCTTTGTCTTATCACTCCCATTCTTGACATTCTTGACAATTTTTTTCCTGACAGAACGCTTTATTGTAAAAAAGGGGTGGGATAGTTACTTTTTAACATGATATTTAGTTTTTATTTAGTATTTTTAATGCTGAGCAAAAATAGCCACTATTTTATTAAAATTAATACGAAAAATATTTTTATTCTTTCTTCATGAGTGTTGTGTAAATATTAAGGACATGTTGTCCTTAACATTTACACTGCACATATGAAGTTAAGGACAGGATGTCCTAAAGTTTAACAATGGAAGGCGTAAATACAGGACACTTTGTCCTTAATATTTACACAACATTCATGAAGTTAAGGACACCATGTCCTTAATATTTATACAACACTCATAAAGTTAAGGATACTATGTCCTTAGCGTTTACCTGCACATATGAAGTTAAGGACATGAGGTCCTAATTTTTAACAACAGAAGGTACAAATACAAGTTAAGGACATTATATCCTTAACATTTACACTGCACACATGAAGTTAAGGATGTTATGTCCTTAACATTTACACTGCACATATGAAGTTAAGGACTGATGTCCTAAAGTTTAACAACGGAAGGCGCACATGATACTTTGTCCTTAATATTTACACAGCATTCATGAAGTTAAGGACACCATGTCCTTAACATTTACACTGTGCATATAAATTTAAGGACATTATGTCTTTAACATTTACATTGCACCCATGAAGTTAAGGAAGCCATGTCTTTAACATTTACACTACACATATGAAGTTAAGGACATGAAATCCTAAAGTTTAACAATGGAATGTGTAAATACAGGACACTTTGTCCTTAATATTTACACAACATTCATGAAGTTAAGGACACCATATCCTTAATATTTACATAACAACCATGTCTAGCACAGGGCTATTTCGTTCGGGCGGGTAAAAATTTATTAAGCACCGACTAAAGAGTAAATACATTTTAAACAGTGGCTAAAGAGTAAATATATTTTAAACAATGACTAAAGAGTAAAAACATCTCTAATTAATAGCTAACGGTGCACTTCCCCCTATTTATACTATGAAGAAAAAGACCATTATAGATGGCCAGATGGCCCATTCAAATTCCTAAAAGTTCCAAAAGGAACTCGAAGGACGCTTCAAATAGTCATTTGTGCAAATGGTGATTTGCACAAATAGGATCATTGGGTGCCGCAAATAATATTTATTTGAGCCATGTAAGAAAAATCTTAAAAATTAGCCTTCGGCCAGAAATTTGGGAAGCCCTTGTAGTAAATTGCCAAAATTTTCATATGGTGAGTTAGAATTTTCATATGGTGATTACCAGAATTTGCTATAAAATATGACAATCGCCAAAATTGTTCATATAGTGATCGCAGTAATTGCCATAAAATATGGCAATCGCCCGAATATTTCATATAGGAAAATTCTGGCTATTACCAGAAGCGCTTCCCAAAATTTTAGTTGGAGGCTATTTTCTAATACTTTTCTTACCATGGTCAAAATATTAATAATGATCCTAAAAAGGTCCACTTAGTGTAATTTCTCAAATTTATAACTATTTGATATTCTTAAAACTAATAAGTACCTACTATTATTTTTTAAAGTTTTGATGAATTCGTGTGAAACAACGTTCCCAGGATAGGCCATTTATACCAAAAAAGTTGAATTAGAACGCCTATGATAGTTGAGAATATTCTACTTTAACTATCAATACTTTGAAGAAGTATTCGTTTGGTGTATATTCTGTTTACTTAGCGCAATAAGAAATTGAATTATGTTCTCCTTGCATAATTTAATAAAATAGGTTATCAATTATGTACTATATAGATAAGCTAAAATTATTTTATTACATGCTAGAAAATAGTGATGTATGAATGCGACTCTTACATGCTTGCGAAGCATTGCTTAAATAATGTTTACATGACCATAACCAAGGGATGCTGCGTTGGTCATGGGTTGAATGAGATTGCTTCATTCTTAAGTCGTAACTAAATGTTTGGAGCTTAAGTCCTGAAATAGAGAAACTTTTAGTAGGAAGTCCGTTTCTTTTAACGAATCATACACAGTGGAATCTTAACTAGTTAGACAAGTGAATTTTGCACCTAATGACTTTTAGAAAAGAAAAAATGAAATACCGTACCATAACTAGTTTGGGCAAAAAAATCTAGAAACAAGATTGAACTGATTGAAGCTTCTGAAAGTAAACTAATAGGAGTATTGATAATTTCAATTGGGATATACTTTTGATCGAAGTAATTTTAAGAGAAAAAAGTTATATCAAACACTTTTTTCTTTTGAAAAATAATTGGTCACTGGTCGGAGTGTCCGCATTGGAAAGTTTGAGATTACACCTTTGGTACTTAATTCTATCAACTTTGGAGGTTATTAGTGTATAGGTCCAAATTTGACAACCACGGTAACGGATAAGCAAGACATAGGATGGGGTCGACTACAAAACAGCGACCGACGGTTGTGTGATAAAGGCCGACGATCAAAAGCGGGCAGTTAAGATAAAATAATAACAGTAACTTGAACTTAGAGAGAGACAGGAAGAATATTCCTTCGGATATTCTCTGTGTTGTATTTTTTAGGGTTTTTTGAGGATTGTCCCTTATAAATAGGAAGAGATAATGAACAATGAGAGGATCTGCCCTTTTGAGAACTAAGAAACACATTGTAAAGTCAAGAAAAAGATATACGAAGGAGTTGTCTTATTCACTTTATTCAAGCATATGTTATTCAACCTTCATCCATAAATCTCAAAGATTCCACATTCATATCAACTGTATACCTCTTCACGTCATCAGAGGGAAGAGACACCCAATCACACAATCATTGGGTGACAGTTCCTTTACGCTATAATCATTGTCGTTTCTTGCATTTATTGCACATTTATGATATTACATTTTTCGTCTATCATAGTATACTGAACGCACTAATTAATGCTTTTAAATTCTTCCCACTATACAAGAATCTCGCTCTATTTGATCTAGAATTTATTAAGCTCAACTGAGATTTACCCCATTAATTTATTATTAATTGGTTTAGCATTTATTTACTCAAATAATTTGGCGTCGTCTGTGGGGAGATTTTAGTTGAAACTATAGTTCTTTCTAGATCATAAAAAAATACATTTCTTCCACGTTTTGCACAAACTAACGATGGCAGGAAAAGGAGATGCGAGACTGAAGGCGATAGCAGGCGTTACCACCAACATTCTGAACTCCATCAACGAAGATGACAGGGGAGATGACGAGAATGCGACACCAAACGGTACTCCTATGCGAAGCATTTCACCTCCCACTCATGAAAGCGTGACGGTTTCATGCGAAAAGGGAACCTCCACATCCACAGCCGAAGAAGCACAACCAGCAATGAAGAAACGACTAGAAGAGTGGTTGACAAGCACTCTAAGCAATATACTCGATAGACCTTCCCAAAGGGAAAGCGGCAACACCGCGCAAGCAGATATCGTAACAACTACTGGCGAGCAACCCCTTCCTCAAACAGGTAACACTTACCCCACTATAGATACAGGTAACGATGTGCTCGCAGCCGTCCTAAAGAAAATGGAAGAAATGAAAATGAAAATAAGGCGCTCCGCGACCAGATGAAAAATCATCAAAAAATGGTCGACAAGATACCAGGTGCCCCAAAGTTACTACCAAAACGAGACGTTGGTCAATTTATCGAGCAACCGTACAGCGAAAAAGCGGCTCCATATGCCATTCCCAAAACCTTCAAAATGCCACTGTACCTGAAGATATACGATGGTACTATAGATCCAGTAGATCATATCGTCCACTACGCTATAGCGGTGAAGGGAAACGATCTCTCGAAGGAGCAAGTAACATCGGTACTACTAAAAACGTTCGGTGAAACCCTAACAGAGGGAGCCCTAACCTGGTATTCACAACTACCAGCGCGGTCAATAACAACGTTCGAGGAAATGGCCGACAAGTTTGTCATTGCCCATGTAGGGGATAAGAAGGCGGAAGCCAGGGTGAATGACATATTCGCTATTAGGCAATCACCTGGCGAGAGAATCATGGACTTCCTCTCCCGATTTAACAGGGTGAGAATGAGCCTACCAAATGTATCAGAAGGGATGGCGGTAGCGGCCTTCCAGAACGAGCTGAGCAGGAACGGGTCGAGAGCAACCAGAAAATTATTAAGCAGGCTCATGAAATACCCTCCCACCACCTGGGAAGAAATCCACAATGCCTATTGTGCCGAGGTGAGAGCCGACGAGGATGATCTTAATGGTCCAATCCAATGGCTAACATTGGTTCAAGCAGAATCGAGAAGGGATCGTCATAATGATGGTCGAAGGGATCAGTCGGGCCCCCGTCTCAACCGAGAAAGACATCAACCCTACGTCAGAACAGCCGTCCTACCACCTCCTCGACATATGGAAGGGCCGCCTAGGCCGTACACTGGGTCTCAGCGAAACGAAAGAGGTATGCCTCCACTCTTATCCGCTCACAATTTTTGTGTTTCCCCTTCAGAAATAGTGTATGCACTAGAGAAGCTCGACACGAATGTGAAACGGCCAAAAAAGATGAAGTCTGACCCAAATATTAGGAAGTCAAACGCCCTCTCTGAATTTCACCAAGAACGAGGTTACAAAACCGAGGATTGCATAGGTCTGCGACAAGAGGTAGTGAGAATGTTAAACCAAGGGCACTTGAAAAAACTGATGAGCGATCGCGGACGAGCCAACTTTGCCCGCAGACGCGAACTACCCCAGGGACCTCCAAAGCCGCCCTCTCCAGCTCGCACTATCCAAATGATCATCGGTGGAGGCGACGAAGCAACGATCAACCATGTGAAGTTCACCACCATGCATAAATTTAAACGGTCGATGACCCACGAACGGTACGACGAGTTTGGAGACAGTATCATCTTCGATAAGTCAGATATCGACGATTTGACTTTCCCTCATTTCGATGCTCTTGTTATTACTTTACGTATCTTAGACACTGATGTAAGAAGAATAATGGTAGATGATGGAAGTGGCGCATGTATTATCCACCCTCGAGTCCTCGCACAAATAAGACTCGAGGACAAGATAATACTGCGTTGCATAACACTAACAGGTTTTAACAATGCAGTTGAGCGAACCTCCGGGGAGATAACGCTACCCGTTTTGGCTGGGGGTGTCACCTTGGAAACAATATTCCATGTCATGAACCAAGACACAACTTACAACGCCATCATAGGGTGGCCCTGGATACACGCCATGAGGGCCATCCCGTCGAGCCTCTACCAGGTAATCAAGTTCCCTACTCCATGGGGAATATTCAGTATTATGGGCGAGCAACGCACCGCCCAAGAATGCTATCACATCGCCCAGGACTGCACGTACACCCAATAGATGAAGGGAGCGGACGCAGAGGCATAATAATTACCACAGTTGGGGACTGGACTCAACCTACAAACAGATGTCATCAAGGACCCTGACATCGTAGAAGTAGTCGAATAAACGGTAGAAGATCTCCATCCCTTCCAACTAAACAACAACGACAGCAGTAAAAAGGCTTACATCGGGCATAAACTCTCAGAACCAAGTAAATTTCTTAAGTTTTTAATTGACAACGCCGATCTGTTTACTTTCTCCCATGCAGATATGTCGGGCATCTCAAAAGACGTGGCCACACACAAGTTGAACGTCGATCCACTTTATCCGCCAGTACGTCAAATAAGAAGGAAATTCAATACTGCAATCAACGAGGCCGTAAGGGACGAAGTGGAAAAGCTCCTCGCCAACGGTTCCATCCGAGAATCAAAATAATCCCAATGGGTCGCTAACGTAGTCATGGTAAAAAAGAAAAACGGAAAATGGCGGATATGCGTTGATTTCACAGACCTAAACAGGGCGTGCCCAAAAGACTCCTTCCCATTGTCGCACATCGACCCGCTCATCGACGCCACAGCATGACACGAGTTGCTAAGCTTCTTGGATGTCTACTCAGGCTACAACTAAATCCTCATGGAGGAAGAGGACCAAGAGAAAAATACCTTCATCACTCATCAAGGAACGTACTGCTATAAAGTCATGCCGTTTGGGTTGAAGAACGCAGGAGCAACGTACCAAAGGTTGGTCACCAAGATGTTCAAAGATCAACTCGGCAAAACAATGGAAGTCTACATCGATGACATGCTGGTTAAATCAAAAAGAAAAGAAGACGACATCGATCACCTGAAGGAATCCTTTGGTATACTAAGGCGGTACGACATGAAACTAAACCCCCAAAAATGCGCCTTCTGCATAACCTCGGGAAAATTTCTCAGTTTCTTGGTATCACAAAGAGGCATCGAGGTCAATCCAGATCAAATCAAAGCCATTGAAGGGATACCTGAGGTGTTGACCAGTAAGAAACAGGTGCAAAAATTGACTGGCCGTATAGACGCTCTGTCAAGATTCGTCTCGCGGTCATCCGACAGATGCCACAAATTCTTCAACGTGTTAAAAAAAGATAACGGGCTCCAATGGAATTTAGAATGTGTCGATGCCTTGAGAGAACTAAAGGAGTACTTGTCCTCGCCCCCACTACTCGCCAAAGCAAAGCCCGACGAGCGCCTCCTAGGTATTTGGCCATCTCAGAAGTCGCGGTAAGTGAGGTGCTGGTCCACGAGAACAAAGGTACACAATCTTCGATTTATTATATTAGCAAAACCCTGGTCGATGCCAAAACGAGGTACCCCCACCTCGAGAAGTTGGCCTTAGCACTGGTTATAGTTTCACGAAAGCTTAGACCCTATTTTTAGTGCCACCCCATATCAGTGGTGACGACCTTCCCTCTGCGGAGCAACCTACATAAACCCGAATTGTTGGGAAGACTGGCCAAGTGGGTCATCGAACTAAGTAAGCATGATATAACATATTAGCGCAAACAACGATAAAATTGCAGGTACTCGCCGACTTCGTCGCCGATTTAAGTGCCAAAATAATGCGCGAGGTTGAGCAGGAAGCTTCACATACCTCCCATGGGAAACCCAACCCCTAGGTTCTTTACACCGACGCCATGTTCAATGCGTCAAGATCGGGATTGGGACTCTTACTCGAGGTCCCAACAGGGGAAGTTATCCGTCAGTCCATACGGTGCCCCGATATGACTAACAATGAGGCCGAGTATGAGGCCGTAATTGCAGGGTTAAAGGTAGCTCTCAAGTATGGAGCACGACGAGTCATCCTCAGATGCAACTCAAAACTCGTTGTCAAACAAGTCATGGGGACTTTCCAAATCAAAGAACAAAGACTACAAAAGTACCAGGCAGAAATTCACAAACTACTGTCGGAATTCGATAAATGTCGACTCGACCAAATACCCCGAGCTCAAAACATCGAGGTAGACGGCCTCGCCAAACTAGAAGCTGCCACCAAAAATATCACTAAAGAAAACGTGGTCACCCTCCTCCACTCGTCAATAGACCAACTCGAGGTACGTTCCATAAATTTGACTTGGGACTGGCGCAACCGCATTATGACATATTTGCAGGAGGGAATAATTTTGCAAGACAAAAAAGAAGCCAAAAAGCTTCGAATGCAGGTGGCTAGGTACAACATCATAAATCACGACCTGTACAAGAGAACATTTGGGGGGCCCTTGGTGAAATGCCTAGGGCCGAGCCAGACAAGGCGCGTGCTCGAAGAAGTACACGAGGGCCACTATGGTGCCCATACAGGCAACTGATCCCTCATTAGATGCATCATTCGGGCAGGATATTACTAGCCCATTATGAAAAAGGAAGCCACAAATTATGTCAAGAGATACGAGAAGTGCCAAAAGTACGCGCCTATGATACATCAAGCGGGCGAACACCTCCACTCTGTCACCTTGCCATGGTCGTTCATCAAATAGGGAATGGACATCGTTGGACCCCTCCCAGCGGGGCGAGGTAAGAGATGTTTCATTTTAATTTTAACTGACTACTTTTCCAAATAGGTGGAAGCAGGTGCGTTCACCCAAATACGCGAACAGAAAGTCATCACATTTATATGGAGGAACGTCATATGTTGTTTCGGCATCCCCAAAGAGATCAGCTGCGATAATGGACCCCAGTTCACTGGGAAGAAGATGACCAAGTTCTTCGAAAAATGGCGCATCAAGCAAATACTCTCCATGCCATATCATCCCGCTGGCAATGATCAAGAGGAATCCTCCAACAAAACCATATTGAATATCTTAAAAAAAGCTTGAGGACGCCAAAGGGCTATGGCCAGAGTTGCTACCAGAGGTATTATGGGCCTACCGCACCATACCAAAAACAAGCATAGGCGAAATGCCATATTCATTAGACAATGAAACTGACGCTATGATACCTGTTGAAGTCGGAGAACCTAGCCTGAGATACTCCAATGAAAGAGGACCAAACAATGATGAGAACAGAAGACAGGACCTCGACGAGGCAGAGGAACGGAGAGATATGGCTTATGTAAGGATGGTAGCCCAAAAACAACAAGCAGAACGGTACTACAACAAGAAGTCCAAAATACGCCACTCAAAGTCGGAGACTATGTTCTCAAGGCCAAAACACAAGCGACCAAAGACCCAAAAGAAGGCAAACTGGGAAACAATTGGGATGGGTCGTACAAAATAACAGTGGCAACAAGCAAAGGGGCATTCCAACTAGAAACAATGGAAGAAAAACTACTACAAAATAACTGGAATGTCGCCCACCTCAAGTACTTCAACTTCTAAAAATGATGCCCCTCAAGCCGTACTCTTTTTCCCTCACCCGGGTTTTGTCCCAAATGGGTTTTTCTTAGGGAGGTTTTTAACGAGGCGACGAGGGGGATGTCTCGAAGTTCAAAGTATAATTCATCGCCCCGCCTGACGATGACCTCTTCAGGCCGAACGATGAAGGGACTAGATACATGGAAACTTCTCCAATATATGTATAAAACAGACATGTATAGTACTCTAGTAAATCAAATAAAGCAGCATTTTGTACTCCATCAAGATACTCTCCAACAAAATAAAGCAACATTTTGTACTCCATCAAGATATTCTCCAACGAAGTGAAATAAAGCCAACATCGCTTCGCTCTCTTACACTTAACATTCGACCTCGCTCGAATTACAACAGGTAACATTTCGACAACTCAAAATAACACCACTACGGCCAAAGGCCATCGCCAAAGGAAGATATTCGACCTCGCTCGAATTACTTAACATTCGACCTCGATCGAATTACTTAACATTCGACCTCGCTCGAATTAATTCACATTTGACCTTGCTTGAATTACTTAACGTTCGACCTCGCTCGAATTACTTAACATTCGACCTCGTTCGAATTACTAGCGTTCGACCTCGCTTTAATCATTTAACATTCGACCTCGCTCGAATTACTTAACATTCGACCTCCCTTGAATTACTTAATATTCTACCTCGCCCGAGTTACCAAGATCTACGATCGACTACGCCAAAACGTTATGCACAAGCGACAGAAAAACCAATGACCCCTCACAACAAATAAAAAACCATTCGAAAGTACATAACGAAAAGATAACCATTTCATTACAACTGTTGTATTACAAAAACTTTTTACAAAGGGCTCGAAAACGCCCTCACAAAAACAATAAAACAAAACAAGATAAATACAACAACCCTATGTCGCATCATCCCCCATGGCATACTCCTCGTTATACCAAGAATTGGAGGCGAGCCTGTCCGCATCATCATCGACATCGTCACCGCCGGGCATATCGGGATCATAACCGCAGGCTTCATGGGTAGCACATGCTTTAACACGAACACCTTCAAGTTCTACCTCGGAAACCTTCCCGTTAGCCTGCAGGGACTTGTAAACATCAAGCTGAGCCTCTGCATGGACCCACATCTCATACAACTCCTGCGGCACGACGGAATCAGCAGAGGTATGAGACGTGGAGGGTTGCAACTGCCGTCACACCTCTTTCACTTTTAAAGCAAAAACTTGTTCGTTTAACACAAACAACTCCGCCTCCAGATCTTGGATCCGTTCCTCCAACCTCACTACCTTGAGCGCCGACGTCTCCATCTCACTACCCCGCTCGGACCTATAAACATGAAAGGCATCTTCCAAAGCCGCTACCTCAAATACGGCAGTCACCCATCTCTTTTCAGCACGAGCTAACTCATCAACCTTAACGCTCAGTTTGCCCCTCAAACCGACGGCCTCCGCCTCTCTTCGAATAAGCTCAGAAGTCAAGGTGGCCACACGTGCCTGAAGGTCGGCATTCTCGACCATCACCCTCTTGCTCACCTCAAACTCATCCTCCTTGGCCTTAAGAGCCGCCTCAAGTTCACTACATCAGCCAATGGCCTTCACCAACTCTTTATCCTACTATTTCAGTTCTTCAACCTTCTGCGCCAACTCTTCCTCCTTCTGC